TAAAGGTACTCTCTCTCTCTCTCTCTCTCTCTCACACACACACACACACACACACACACACACACACACGCACACAGAGCATGATATGCCAGCAAAGAGGACCAATTGAGAATGATTAATGGTACTCTAATATGGTATTCAAATTAAGTGAGTGAGAGCAGGACCTTTTGAAGATCTTCAATTTAAGCCTTTATGGAGTTTGAGATATCTAACTCATTTATTGTGCAGGTCAGTGTACCTAAAGGATCTCTCTGCAACCTCAATGTCAAATTCGAAGTTGGGTTGCCTCCTGATGCAGTTTATAACATAGTTACTGACCCTGAAAACAAAAGAGTATTCAAGAATATAAAGGTAGGATACAGTACTCTCTCTCTCTCTCTCTCTCTCTCACACACACACACACACACACACAAGCGTGAACGCAACCACGTTCCCTGGGACATGGGCACATTTGGCTTTTCATTTGTAAGTTTAAAGTAACCATTCAGATTCTAGTTTCTTGAGCGTTCCCGTTTGCTTGTTTTTTCTCACCTACCTTTTGCACCTTTATTATTGAATCTAGTATTAGTTCTCATGTTTTATTGTCTAAGGTGGTCCAGCTGCTTCTAATTAGTGCTCTTTTAAAGTTTAATTCAACTCTTATTATATCATTTGCTTAAGTTTAATTTATGTTTTCACTTAAAAATTCTCTTGAAAACTAGAAATTGTTACCTGAGTTGCTTTTTTCATTTTCAGAATTTCAAAGGTCTTCCACTGTAGCTCCATATCTTTTACTGTTTCTGAAGGTACTCTACAGACTCCTCATTCCCCTAAGAAAAATCTTTCAGGAAGTAATATCAAGGAGAGTAATGGTGAATGAAGGTCAGAGGCAGGTAGTGGAGGTTGAACAGGCAGCCTTATGGCGCTTCCTGTGGTGGTCCGGAGTCATGTTAGTGCATGTTTTTGTTGACCAAAACCGCAAAGATCATACTGTAAGACCTACCAAAAACAATCATTTTCTTTGATGTCCATTTGCAAATATTGAAAATGGAACTTCTATTTTTTGTTGATTCCGCAAGTAGCTATTACCCATATCCTATGTATGTTCTTGGCACCATTACTTTGCTCAGGTAAAATTCAAGCAAGGAAAAGCTGGGTTTATGAAGAGATTTGAGGGTGCTTGGAAAATAGACTCCAATTTTGTGGACAAGGATCATTCTTTCCCATTCGAGCCCAAAACTATTACTGACTATGAGTTATGCTCAAATGGCAAAGGAAGGATCGGGTCAGTGGTGCATTTGCAACAGCTGGTTGAGCCTGCCCTTCTTCCCCCACCTCCCATTTCGTGGTATCTAAGAGGAATCACTACACGAACTGTAGAAATGCTTATCACTGATCTTCGCTCAGAGGCTGCAAGGATAAGAGGAGTTGAACATGTGGATTTTGTTGCAGAATTTCACAAATCTCACCTTGATTGTGTGGATTCAACCAAAAGCTATCCTGGTGAAAAATTGAAAGAAAGATGGCACGAAAGGAGAAAAATGAGAAGGCATAAGCGGAAAAGATTGCCCCCCCTTTAATTATTTCTTTTCTAAATGCTAAGTTGGAACCAGGTGAAAATGGAAACCTAGATAGCACGTTGTGGAACCCGATGCCCGGACCACCTCTGCATACAGGTACCATAATGGGGGTGGTTCCTCAAAACTCTACACTTTTATTGTAAACTATTTTCTATGTTATTTTATATTTGGTAAACATTGTTTCCTCCCAAAGGTGCAACTCAGAAAGAAAAGTACCAAGGATTGGTGTCACAGATATTTGCATACTAAGGATTCACATTCGATGTGTGTCACAGATATTTGCATGCATTCACGTACTCCGCATCTATCATGCAAATGGTTTTGAAAAAGGAAAATCTAGGGAAAATTTCTCCCTAACCCCCACTTTTGGCACCTATTTCGTAGGAGACCGAGTGTTTCATAATATTTTTTGTGGTCTAGGGTCTCCATTTTTTCTATCCTCAAATCTCTTAAACCTCTCTGACTATGTATTTTTGACCTAAAGAAATGGTGAAATGACACTTTCTTAACAAACCTCCGTTAACCTCTCCTTCTCTCTCAAAAGACGGTCTCTCTCTTTCTCTCTCAATTTGTATATACATTTTTTACTTGTTAGATCGAGTCCAGCTATTTTGAAAGCGAATTGTGGTGTCATTTATAGTGTTTTTGTAAGGAATCAGTGAGAGTTGCATAGGCATAAAGCTTTGAGAGTGCAGAGGTCTGGTAATGACGGCCTTTTTTACTTGTTTAGAGGGAATTTTTAACATCTTGTTGATTAATACATCTTTCTTTGACCGGGCCAATACCTTCAGTGGTCATGTGCTCCACCATACACACCGAAATAAGCGACAAAAGATTCAAAGCAGCGGGGCCACATTTGGTTTCTGGAAAATGGAAACAGAAATAAAGATTTGTTAGCGATGGTAGAAAACAATAACTAAGAATCTTAAACTGGAAAATGGAAACAGAAATAAAGATTTGTTAGCGATGATAGAAAACAATAACTAAGAATCTTAACTAATAATTTTTTAAGCTCAATTTGATATAACCTATTGCGGCTGCACATGGCATCGTGATTCCATGAATGTAAAACTTATACCTTAATAACTCCAGGCAGTGCATGATACAAATCCTTTTAAAGAAGTTGGCTTGGAAGTTGGCTTGCATAAACAAAAAAATATATCTCATGCTACGGTTTGCTGTAAAATTGGATGGCATCCCCATCTTTCTCCATTATATGGAGAAAATAATATTGTGATTGCATCCCCATCTTTTTGGGAAAATAATATTGTGATTTGGTTCAATCCAAAAAGTGTTTAGGATTTGGTCATTGAATTTTAGGCTACGATATTACACTATGGCCCTTAAATTAGAAGGAAAATTTTGTTAGAAAATTGGGTGAAAAACCAGCGGCCCCAATAATATTTTCATTTATTTTTCCTTTCATATCTATCTTACAAATTAGAAAGATATTCTTCTTATATTTTATCTCTCATTGAGCAACTCTTTTCTTTCTATCCCTTCTTGGATCATAACTACATCTTTATATCCTTTTTCACTTATCTTTTCTTTATCTTTCTTAACCATAAAAGATATCTTCTTAAATATTTCTTTCTCAAGATTATAAGGAATTTTTAAAAAATGGAAACTCCCTCTCTCTCACGTAACTCTCTCCCTCACACACCCTTAAGAATCTCTTCCTATCCTATTTAAAAGGCACCAAAGATTTTAGGAAAAACAAAGTCCTCTCTCCTCCAGGTAACTCTCTCTATCTCCTTACGCAATATAGAAAATAAATTGTCTAGTTTGGCCTAAACTCCTGATATATAACCTCTCTCCTCTCTCATGAGAGGGTCCCTTCTTATTCTTTTGCCACGTGTCCACCCCTTAATGTAGTATAAATAGGGTTTCAATCCTACCACAAGGATTAATCTTAGATCCTTATTAAGCAAACATTTTCCTTTTCATGAAGTTCTTATTAAGCAAACATTTTCCTTTTCATGAAGTTTTGAAGATATTACATGGCCTTCTTTGTTCCAAGGTTTGAGAAAATGTCTTGAATTTAGAGCTCTTATTCCTAGTTTTTGTGTTGAAATTTGAAGAATTGGAGCTTTAGAATGTGAATTACTCATCATTTTTGCCTTGAAGTCAAAGACTGCCTTGTTTTAAAAGGTCTTGATTACATATTTTAGGTTACAGGTCCTTTAATTGGAGGTATCATCTTCCTTTTGCTTTACAATCTGAAAAGAAAGTTCACTGTAAATTCCTTTCCTCCCCTTTTGAATCTCTCTATCTTAAACTGAATCATCTTTTGGTATAGCTAATCTGTTTTAGAAGATCAATATGAATATCAATTCTGTTCAAAATATGCTAAGGACATGGATCTGGGCCTTACAGCTCATTTTTCTCTGTATCGGCCTCAACTCCACTCTGCTTCTCTTGAAACTTTTCCTTCCTAATGTCTCTTTATTTCTCAAGACCCCATTCCTTGTTTATCGCTCTGTTTCTCAAGACCTCCATTCCACATTTATGGCTCTGTTTCCGAGCGTGTCTTTGTCCCCCTTACCTCTATATCATAGTAAACTGTATAATCATCACTATTGCTGCTTCTTCGAGCTTTCAAAAGGATCGATCAGAGAGAAAAGTTGTAGAAGACAAGATCGCTTCTGATCAACATAAGCGAAGTGATACGGAGTACAAAGAAGAGCAAGAAGTCCTCAACAATGACGATGTTCCTCTAAGCTACAAGGAAGGGCCAGAACTAGAGACTCTCGGAATTGGGAGAGAGAGAGAGACTGTTTAGAGAGAGAGAAATGCTTTTTAGAGAGAGAATGTTTTGAGAGAGAGAAACGGATTTTTGAGAGAGACGAGGCAGTGTTTTTATTTTTTTGGATAAAAAATACATAGATAAAAAAAGCTCAGGGGGTTGGAAGATAAAAAAAATAGATATCCCATGCGATCAGAAATATTTTGAATCCTATTTTGGATCTCATAAAAAATTGGTGTTAAAAGTGGGGTACAAAGAAATTTTTCCGAAAATCTATATATAATAGTGGGCCTTAACTGCTACGGTTAGAACATACCACAAAATTTATTTATATCTTCTATTTCTAGAGACAAAAAAAAGAGAAAGGCCCACATGTTTGAGAGTCCAACTAGATAAACATAAGATCTTGGTATCTTCTATTTCTAGAGACAAAAAAAAGAGAAAGGCCCACATGTTAGAGAGTCCAACTAGATAAACATAAGATCTTGGAAAAAAGAGAAAGGACCACAGGCTAGAGAGTCCAATTAGATAAACATAGGATCTTGGGCTCTAGGAAGCGCAGGTCTGGTGGCCCGCAAGATTCATGTCCAATTTCGTATACATTGTTATTTTTTAATTATTTTTAAACTTCATCACTAATCCTAATGTTAATTATTTTTACACTTATCCCTTAAATAAAAAAATAAATTTTTTGGAACAAAATACCTCCTCCACCCACATGTTTTGCACCTCCTCTCTCGAGGAAAAAATAACGCTATCAACTAGCTTCAATAGGGAACATAAGCTAGTCCGGCACACTATGTGCTTGCTAGGTAGGCTTTAATAAGGATAAAAAGTCGGTTTAGTACATTATGTCTCGGACTAGCTTCGTTATTCAAAATGTGAAGCCAATCTGACATAATGTTTGTTAGACTGACTTTAATAAGGATGAAAGGCAGTCCGACCCACTATGGGTTGGACTAGTTTCATTTTTTAAATTTTCAATAGGACAATAAGTCGGTTTTATAGACTATATTGGACGAGCTTCATTTTTAACAAACGAGGTTCATGATGGCCCTCTCCCAATTGTCCCCTCTTTTTCTTTCTCCATCTTTCCATGTGAGAAATTGTATTTATATATATTTGGGCCTTAAGCCCTACGGAAGATATATTTCAGAGCTTATTGAATATGTGAACAAGAGCTCCAATTTATAGGGTTACAAAGCTACGTTCTACTAAAGAAAGTAACATATGCAATGAACCTCCTTCCTAACATGGGTACACATCAAAAGAAGGAAAATATTGGTCCAAAAAATAAGTGCAAGTTTCTATAATTTCTATGCTCCCCCTCAAACTCAAGATGCATTAAGAGGGAGCAATTTAAGTTTAGACAATTGAAGGCAGGCATTAGAAACAAAGCAGGAACAGAAGAAGCTTGAGCGGCTGCAAATTAGCAATTGTCAGAAACCGTAGCGATCCTTAGAAACCGAAGTTTCGAATAGATCAATCTCGCGTAACAACAAATCAACAGGCATTCGGAACAAACATGATCGAGTAACGAAAAAAAAAAACTCGATCATCATACAAGATGGAGTAATGAAAAACTCCATCATCAATGGGATTGAGCAATAGAAAACTCATTAATTAAATATGATCAAGTAACATAAAGCTTGATCATCAATCAGGATTGAGAAATTCGATCATCAAACAAGAGGTATTTGGAAGAGCCAACATAAATCAATGGTGGTCTGAAGAGAGAGTGGCTCAAGACAACCTCAAATCGTGAAATCCAAGACCCAAAAACGAGATTGTAGGTGTCACAATTGCTGAGCCAATACTAGCAAAAGATTCTAATTTATCCATTCCAACAAGAACTATCACAGATTCACCTTAGGCAACTGAAACAAGCTTTGGTTGGACAGGAAACAACACAAAGTACCTGGGTGAACAATAGGGACAAAGACCCCTTTTTTTTGGTTGGAGAACGTCACAAGTATGTAGAGGTGCACCGTCACTTTTACAAAGAGGTTCAGGAAAAGTGCGTGCAACAAAATGGTTTCAAAGGCTGGTCAAAGAGTATTCAACCAACAGTATAGTCTCCTACTTATAAGGTGAACAAGGTGGTCCTCAAAGTTTTGTAATAAAACTCCACCCACTTGGCACCCTACTTTGCACCCGTTTTGCTTTCGAGGTTTTGTATAGACGGTGTAAAGAAAAGGAATGGGTCTTGGACGGTGCAAAAAAGGGTTTATTGTTTAGACGGCGGAAAAAATGGGAAAGGTTTCTATGCTTCCCCTACAGCGTAGAAGTTCTATCCTTCCCCTATCATCCAGCCGTCCAATTTTGATCAAGAGAGCCACTCACTGTTTGATCTTAGATCCGACGTCTCAAAGTATTTTATTTTTAGTTTTTTTTATACAAATTGTATGATTATGAAATTTGGTACGTGCCATCTTCTCATTGGGGCGCACCCATCAAAAAAATTAAAAATAATTTTTCAATAAAA